AGGTCATGATCCCGCGGTCCTGGGATTGAGCCCCACATCAGGCTCCCTGCTTGGCGGGAAGCCTGCTTCTCCCTCTTCCATACCCCCTACTTGTGTTCCCTCTCTCACTGTGTCTCCCTCTGTCAAATAAATAAAATCTTTAAAAATAAATAAATAAATAAATAAAATTCAATCATCAGTACTGCATGACAACTGTAATATGCACAAATATTTGGCACTCTATCACAAATTACAATAGTAACAGTAATCATAATAGTACAATTAATGTTTTATTTATAAAAGAAAACTGAACCAAAAAAATTCAAATAGAATCTAATACTATTTCAAGATTCCTTCAAATCTTTATTCATGTTTAAAACAGATCTTGCAGTTATAAAATAATGCTACAACTTTTCCCATGTATCTGTTACTACTTAATGATTTTGAAAAAGTACCTAACAATCTATTTGAGGTTTATCCCCATACATATTTAGCAGTTGGACAAACTAGCATAAAATCTCAAGTTATGGAATTTATATTCTAGGTCATAATAGTTCTAAAAATATTTGGTTTTTAGTTATTAAGATCATTCACTTCTTAAAAACTAGAAACATTTAAAATCTGCTTAACAAACATGTTCTCTTACCAAATGATCATTTTCAATCAAAATTTTATTGGCAAAAAAGGATTACACACAGATACCCTAAAGGGGTAAGAAAAGGACAAAACAAGCAACAGAGAGAAAATCTGAAGTAGAGAAGTTGACTCACAAAATGACTCACAAGCATTTCCTGGGTATTTTGTCCAAGAAAACTCCTCTGACTAAAGTGGAAACTTGTTTGGCTACAACCCATTAGTCTATTATTATGATTAATGCCATGGTGCCAAATATTTGAGCATGTGGCATATGGACAAGAAAAACCTCCTACGTGATTTTTTAAAAAATATTTTATTTATTTATTTGAAAGAGAGACAGCAAGAGCGACAGAACACAAGCAGGGGAAGTGGGAGAGGGAGAAGCAGGCTTCCCGCTGAGCAGGGAGCCCGATACGGGGCTCAATCCCAGGACCCTGGAATAATGACCTGAGCTGAAGGCAGACGCTTAACGGCTGAGCCACCCAGGTGCCCCTACGTGTTGATTTAAATACTGGGGCATTTTAGCCCATAACTGTTTAGCTAATACGGAATAGGAACTGTCAACTTCTATCTAGTTCCTTCTATCTTGTGTAGGAACTGAACCAATTTCAAAAGCCCAGCAACAATTTTAACTGACTAGTTATGTAGTAATATTGCAAAAGGTGAAGATAAAAGCTAGTCTTTTGAAGGAATAAAGGGAATAAGTTTTGCAGATGTTGACATAAAATCAAGTCAATATTATTAACAAAGTAGAAAGATGATTTATGTCCTTTTGAGAGTCTCAAAGAAATCCTGGGGGTCCTATGAAAACTCAGATAAAAGATACAGGATAAAAAATTTCCCTGTGGAAACATCTAAATTACAGATCCTTTACTCCTACTGGCAAACAAGACAAAGCAACCTGAAGACAAAATGTAATTAGGGAAGTCAACAGGATCATAAATTAAAAACCAGAATGTACACACCAACTTATTACATATATTTTTCTCTCAAACTTAACCAATATGTTGAGCATCTACATGTGAAACTTAACACTAATTTTTTTTTAAAGTAGGCTCCATACCCAACATGGGATGTGAACTCATGACCCCAAGATCAAGAGTTGGCTGCTTTATCGACTAAGCCACCCAGATGCCCCAATTACATAATACAGAATAACTCCCTTACCCCTATCAAAAACAAAAAGATAGGAGAAGGAACAAATCTAATACTTTTGTTCTTTCTTAGCTAATATTACTGCCACTGTATTAGTCCCTCAGAATTCCTCTGAAAAACTAAAAGACCCTCCGCTGACATCAGTGTAAGCCCCAAGCCTCCATCTCCATTATTCTCTCAATTCCAACCCATTTGTCTTTATTTTATTTTTAAGATTTTATTTATTTATTTGATAGAGAGAGACACAGTGAGAGAGGGAACACAAGCAGGGGAAGTGGGAGAGGGAGAAGCAGGCTTCCTGGTGAGCAAGGAGCCCGACGCGGGGCTCGATTCCAGGACCCTGGGATCATGACCTGAGCCGAAGGCAGGTGCTTAACGACTGAGTCTTTAAAGCAGTTTTGTTTTCCTAACATTTTCATCATATAATTCTCCTAATTAATAAATAACCTGCAACAATTCTTTACTATATATTGCTAAAATTTGGGGTGATTCTTTTGGGCAGGGCAAAGGGGAAAGGCAGTAATAAGGAATTCAGTTCAGAAATACCTGCCTTAGGGGTGTCTGGGTGGCTCAGTCAGTTAAGCGTCTGACTCTTGGTTCCAGCTCAGGTCATGATCTCAGGGTCGTGAGATGTCATGAGATCAAGCCCCACATCATGTTCCATGCTCCACGCAGAGTCTGCTTGAGATTATTTTCCTCTCCCTCTCCCTACCCCTCTGTTCCTCCTCTCACTTGTGCTAATAAATAAAATCTTATAAAAAAAAGAAATACCAAAAGATAAATATCTGCCTTAGACATTCTATCAATTAAGAGATTTACTTAGATTAATAAATGCCTTTTTTTTTTTTTAAAGTAGGCTCCACATGGAGCCCAGTGTGGGACTGGAACTCATGACTCTGAGATTGAGACCTGAGCTGGTATCAAGAGTCAGATGCTTAAATGACTTGAGATACCCAGGTGCCCCAATAAATGCCTTTTAAAAATGTAAACATCAAACAGAAGGGTCAGGGGGCACCTGGGTGGCTCAGTCAGTTAAGTGTCTGCCTTCAGCTCAGATCATGATCCCAGGGTCCTGGGATCGAGCCCCATGTTGGGAATCCCTGCTCAGCAGGGAGTCCCTTTCTCCCTATACCCCTCCCCTCCTTGCTTGAGTGCACTCGCTCTCACTCTCTCTCTCTCAAATAAATAAATAAAATCTTAAGAAAAAAAGCCCAGAAGGGTCAGGATTATCCTTCAAATTTACATATTAACACCCCAATTTTGAGAAAGAAGAAAAAATGAACTTGAGAGTACAGCATGAAGAGAGGTCCATGTAAGTGGATGATGGCTAGCAGAAAGACAGCCGAGAGAGAGGAAGAAGTCTAAGACCAAGACTAGCCTAGAGACCTCAGGAGAGAAGTGTAGGGCACTGAAAATCTCTATCTAGGCACAGATAGCTCTTTATAATGTCCAGTTCTCTTTCCTGTTCCCTACCATCATACTCATTTCATTTTACTTTTATAAACCTTTCATTCACTCTACTATTATGTGCCAATCATCAAGCTAATATCAGGGCTACAAAGATAATGAAAAAGAGTATTTCTTTTCATAAAGATATTATACTGGGAGAAGAGGGAAGCAACAAGTAACCATAAAACAGTAAAAATACTATTAAAGAAGTGTACACTGAATACTATACGGTCACAGAAGAATGAACTGCCTCTGACTACAGAGTTAAAAAGGTATGTCTTGGGGACAGCTGGGTGGCTCATTCAGTTAAGCGTTTGCCTTCAGCTCAGGTAATGATCCCAGAGTCCTGAGATGGAGCCCCACACTGGGCTCCCTGCTGAGCAGGGAGCCTGCTTCTCCCTCTCCTTCTGCCACTCCCCCTGCTTGTGATCTCTCGCTAATAAATAAAATCTTTAAAAAAAAAAAGCTATGTTTTTTTTTTTAAGATTTTATTCATTTATGTGACAGAAAGAGACATAGCAAGAGAGGGAACACAAGCAGGGGGAGTGGGAGAGGGAGAAGCAGGCTTCCCGCTGAGCAGCGAGCCTGATGCGGGGCTCAATACCAGGACCCTGGGATCATGACCCGAGCTGAAGGCAGACGCTTAATGACTGAGCCACCCAGGTGGCCCAAAAAAGGTATGTCTTGAAAAATAATAGAATAATAGAAGTTTGCCAGATAGACATGGGCAGAGAAGGCATTCCAGATAAGAGCCGCAGAATATAGAGAAGGATACAGATAAGAGCCAAACTAAGCAGAGAATGCTATAGTGAATTTAGGATGTCATTCTGTAGGCCACAGGGAGCTATATTTTATCGTAGGGGATGACCTCAGAAAGAATTTTGCAGTCCACATTAATTATAACATTAATATGATTACATGTTATCGCAAGGTGTCTTAGTGCCCCTCACTTCATGTTTCTTATGTTTCTAATCTAAATTAAGGTTTTCTTAACAGCAAGAACCACCTATATCTTAAATGAAGACTCTTAAATAATAATACTTACTGAATAAGAAAAGGCTGAGGTATTTGATAGTACAAACCAAATGCTAAGTTGAATATCACTGTTTTCTAAATGTTTTGTCCGTAAGTCTTTGTTTTTTAAAACCTCCTTCATGGTGTACACTGTATCATAAATTCCTTTTATATTCCAGTACCCAAACCACAACCATACGTGTATATAATACACGTATATACACATATACATACATTATTTGGGGAAGGTGAGAGAGCAGCTTACTGAAAGCAGATTGATAAGTCTTTATATATCATATATACTTGTTCCTATGTAGGAGAAAGTTAGAGGAGTTGAGAATCAGAACAGAAAGCATAAAACATGACAACCACTGACTCTACCCACTACTGCTACCATCCTATCATTTTAAAGGGATAAGTAAGGTGGCGGGTGGAGATGGGAGGAAAAAAGAAAGCACAGATATATTACCTGACAGCAATGGAAACGATGCTTAGTGTGCTTTCAAGAGCACATAAGGACTTGAACCTTCTCTATTATCACAGAGAACACATGTGAGGCTCGTGGTATAATGAGAAAATTTCAAGGCTGTAGATTTTTCCCAACATCACACCACTGAAGTACAATCACTTGCAAAACAAATTACCACCTGTTCTTGGTCAAACTGTTAGACATTATCATTGTTATTAAATATGAAAAATAAACATAACTACTAAAGCAAAGACAAATACTGACAGCAAAATAATCTCCAGGACTTCATGATTCTTACCTGTTCACTCTCCTAGGACACTTGTCTGGTTTAATATCTACCTCATAGAGGTAGACATCAATCTTTGGGATTTCAACTTGAAAACAGTTAGCCAGCAATTTAATGGGTTTGCCCATGGTGCCATAGCCAGGTCTTCTGGGCACCATGAGTAGGGGCTGGGCCCCAACGGGTCCTGCCAGGGAGAGGGGAAAAAAAAAAAGAGTGACACTGTTATAAGCTGCATTTGATAATCTTGTCAATCAGAATATATTAGAATTTTAAGTACAGCTGATAATGGTTGAAGCTTAGTGCTGAAAGATGGCATTTCTAACACTTCAACTTTTTTCTCCCCAAATTACTCTCCTCAGTTAAATAGATTTACAAACAAAAAACGGTATCTCTGGAAAGTTGTTTCAGAAGGGGTAGGAAGAAGGGAGAGCAATCACATAAACCCAGGTGAGCATGAACAAGCACAAACCAGACCCAAAGAGTGTGAGACCAACAATGTAAATTTATTTTTTTTAAAGATTTATTCTAAAGATTTTTTATTTATTTGACAGAGAGAGACACATTTGACACTGTCAAATAAATATATAAAATCTTTAAAAAAAAACAAGTGAACAAAATACAATATGATATAAGGATCAATACAACAAGAAAAAAAAAAAAAAAAAAGGGGCGCCTGGGCGGCTCAGTTGGTTATCGACTGCCTTCGGCTCAGGTCATGATCCTGGAGTCCCGGGATCGAGTCCCACATCAGGCTCCCTGCTCAGCAAAGGAGCCTGCTTCTCCCTCTGACCCTCCCCCCTCTCATGCACTCTCTCTCTCATTCTCTCTCAAATAAATAAATAAATCTTAAAAAAAAAAAAGAAAAATCAACAAAGTGCAAATTGGGTATTTTGAAAATTATTTGAAAAGATAAAACTGATAAACTCCAGGCAACACTGATTTTTATTTTTTTTAAAGATTTTATTTATTTATTTGACAGAGAGAGACACAGCGAGAGAGGGAACACAAGCAGGGGGAGTGGGAGAGGGAGAAGCAGGCTTCCCGCTGAGCAGGAAGCCCAATGCGGGGCTCGATCTCAGGACCCAGGACCCTCATGACCTGAGCCAAAGGCAGACGCTTAACGACTGAGCCCCCCAGGTGCCCCAACACTGATTTTTAAAAGAGAAGGATGGGTGCCTGGGTGGCTCAGGCAGTTAAACCTAGGACTCTTGATTTTGGCTCTGGTCATGATGTCAGGGTCGTGGGATCCAGCCATGTAGGACTCCACACTCAGTAGGGAGTCTGCTTTAGATTTTCTTCCTCTCCCTCCGCCTCACCCCTCTCGTCCCTCTCATGTGAGTGCATTCCCTCCCTCTCTCAAATAAATAAATCTTTAAAAAAAAATAAGAGGAAAAATAATATAAGTGAAAAAACTGCTATCACTACGACACTGAAGGCATAACATTATGTCAATAAATTTGGTGAAACAGACAAATTACCAGAGAAATACAGGTTACTGACACACGAAAGTATGTAAAATTTGGAAAGTCCTCTGTTGGTAGAAATATAAGATGGAAAACAATATTGTGGTTCCTCAAAACATTAAAAATAGAATTACTATATGATCCAACAATTCTACTGCAGTGTACACACCCAAAAGAATTTGAAGCAGAGTGTAGAAATGATAACCATATACCATTGCTCATAGCACCATCATTCACAACAGCCAAAAGATGGAAGCAACCTAGTGTCCACTGATGGATGAATGGATAAACAAAATGTGGTATATACATATAATGGAACATTAGCCTTAAAAAGGAAGGAAATTCTGACATTTCTTCAAGAGATGAACCTTGCAGATGTTATGTTACATCACAAAAGGACACTGTATGATTCCACTTATTAATACCTATAGTAGTCAAAATCAGAGACAAAAAATACAAGGGTGGTTGCCAGGGGCTGGGGAAAAGGGAGAATGGGAAATTGCTGCTTAGTGGGTAGAGTTGCAATTTTGCAAGATGAAAAGAGTTCTGGAGATTAGTTGCACACAGTGTGAATGTACTTAAATATCACTGAATTGTACACTAAAAAACTGCTGAGATGGTAAATTTAATGCTATGTATACTTTGTGACATTTAAAAAAAGTGACATCCAGCATTAAATTTTTTTTTTTTTAAGATTTTATTTATTTATTTGACAGAGAGAGACACAGCGAGAGAGGGAACACAAGCAGGGGGAGTGGGAGAGGGAGATTTCAGGCTTCCCACTGAGCGGGGAGCCCAACGTGGGGCTCGATCCCAGGACCCTGGGATCATGACCTGAGCCGAAGGCAAGACACTTAACGACTGAGTCACCCAGGCGCCCCAGCATTAAGTTTTTTTTTTTGGGGGGTACCAAATTACTTTATTTGAAGAATGGTACAAATGAAAGAAGTTAAGTAGATGTTTTGGTACAACTTATAGAAAAGGTAAACGTAACCCCAACATGCATGCACTGCCTTGGTGACCAAGGAAGTCATCCCTGTGGCTCTGGGAAGACAGCCTAAGGCTTAGCTCTGTTTCCCAAGGTGTGCTTATCAAAGAGATACTCTGCCATGCCAGATTCGGGAGCCCTCATCTTGCGCAGGTTGGTTATGTGGTCACCCAATTCTTTGCTGGATTTCACCTGCTCATTCAGGTAATGAGTCTCAATGAAGTCACACAAATGGGGGTCATTTTTATCAGTGGCCAGTTTGTGCAGTTCCAGTAGTGACTGATTCATGCTCTTTTCCAAGTGTAATGCACACTCCATTGCATTCAGCCCGTTTTCCCAATCATCACGGTCTGGTTTCTTGATGTCCTGAAGGAAGATTCCGCCACCTCATGGGTTCTGCAGCTTCATCAGTTTCTCAGCATGTTCATGAGATTGGTGAAGAAAATATCTGGCAAAGTTCTTCAAAGCCACATCATCGTGGTCAAAGTAGTAAGACATGGACAGGTAGACATAGGAGGCGTAGAGCTCGTGGTTGATGGCGGCCTCTGAGTCCTGGTGGTATTTCTGGCACACCTGCGAGGGGGACGCAGTCGTCATGGCGGCGGCTGAGAAGAGGTGGCGGCGGGGTCCTTGGGACGGTCCAAGGGCGCTATGAGGAGATGGTGGAGGGCTGGCTCTGAGAGGCTGGCCAGGGTGGGGGACGAGTGTCGGGTTCCGTCCAAGCACTGTTGAAGCAGGAAACTGAGGCGACTCTCGGTGGAGACTGTTCCCAGCATTAAGATTTTAAAGCTCAAAATGTTGTAGCTTTGTTAAATGAAGTTCAAACAATAAATTTAGTTAATAACTATTATCTGAATGAACTTACATTTAAAAATATCTGAAAAGTCCTGTAACTATAGCTGCTGAAAAAACGAAACCCGCAATTAAAAATATTTCCAGGGGGCACCTGGCTGGCTCAGTCAGTAGAGTATATGCTCGGGTTGTGAGTTTGAGCCCCACGTTTGGTATAGAGATTATTTAAAAATAAAATTAAAAAAAAATTTTCCATGCATACACTAAAGATTCCAGATCCAGATGGTCCCACTATAAAATTATAGCAAACATTAAAGGAAAAAAATACTGGGCGCCTGGGTGGCTCAGTCAGTTAAACGTCTGCCTTTGGCTTAGGTTATGATCCCAGGGTCCTGGGATGGAGTCCCACATCGGGCTCCCTGCTCAGCGGGGAGTATGTTTCTCCCTCTTCCCCTCCCCACCGTTTGTGCTCTCTCTCTGCTCTGTCTCACTCTCTCAAATAAACAAAATCTTTAAAAATTATAATAAAAAATAAAGGAAAAAATACTGATCTTATACAATCTTCCAGAGTAGGAAAAAAGTAAATATACCCCAATTCAACATATGATGCCAGAAAAACTCTGAAACTAAAACCTGACAAAAACATTATGAAAAAGGAAAATAAATAAAATCATAAGACAATACCATTCATGAATATACCTGCAAAAGTCCTAAACAAAATGTTAACAAAGGAAATCTAGCAATATATCAAAAGGATAATAACATTTTTTTAAAGATTTTATTTGTTTATTTGAGAGAGAGAGAGAGACAGCGAGAAAGGGAACACAAGTAGGGGGATTGGGAGAGGGAGAAGCAGGCCTTCCGCTGAGCAGGGAGCCCAATGCAGGGCTCGATCCCAGGACTCTGGGATCATGACCTGAGCTGAAGGCAGACGCTTAACCACTGAGCCCCCTGGGCGCCCCAGGATAATGCGTCTTGACCAAGATGAATTTATTATCAGGAATTAAAAGATGGGTTAACAACTCTTTTTCACTATGGATAAAAGTACATTAAAGTGTTACCTATACTTTTTTTTTTTTTTAGTTTTGTTTTCATATATTTGTAAAATCTCTTTTGAGGACATTACCTTTCCTGTTAACCTAGATAATACTGATAATATCCTAGGTAACATGGAGTAATTCTAGACTAGGTCATAGTTGTGGCTCTGCCATTTATCTAACTACTTGACCTCTGTCAAGTATTAGTAGCCCTGAAATTCCTATTTTCTGATCTATAACATGGGAATAATACCTGCTCTGCCCCTTTCTTGTGAATCTTATCAGGATCAAATTAGAAAATGTACAATAGTGGGGCACCTTGCTGGCTCAGTTGGTTGGGCATCTGCCTTTGGCTCAGGTCATGATCCCAGGGTCCTGGGGTGGAGCGCTGCATCAGGCTCCCTGCTCAGCAGAGTGTCTGTTTTGCCCCTTCCCCTGCTCATGCTTGTGTGCTCTCTCTCTGAAATAAATAAAATCTTTAAAAAAATTTTTTTAAAAAGAAAGAAAATGCACAATAGCTAAAATGTATCAAGCTCTTACCATATCTCAGGCAATGCGCTATATGCTTTATATGCATTATCTCATTTAATCTTCATACAAACCCTACAGTGATTTATAGATGAGGAAAACTGAAGTGATTTGCTAAAACATCATAGCAGGCAAGTAGCAGAACTGGGACTGGAACCACCCTGTTGAGCTATTTTGTTCCATTGATCTGTCTATCCTTTCTCCAGTAACACACTGTCCCGATTACTATAATTTTATAGTAAGTACAGTTTTGAAGTCAGGTAGTGTCAGTCTTCTGACATTATTCTCCTTCAATACTATGTAGCTATTCTGGTTATTTTACCTTTCCATAGAGACTTTAGAGTCTTTTGATACCTACAAAATAACTTATTGAGAT